AATAAAGATCCCTCCAAGGAGAATAGCTCCAGCAAAGCGACAAGGACTTGTGTCGCTAAAGTTTCGTCGGAACGAAGTTACAGAAAGTTAATTAACAAACGGAGACGTAACAATATAATCAAACCCTAACGTACAGTCCTAGTGAAAGTCATGTTTTTGTTGTTAGGATAGTACTTTTATTAAAAGTTGTGTTTTATTATAAGGAAATAGTTGTTGCACATACCACAGCTATTTTTCTAATTGTCTGAATTTAAATATCCAAAGTGTGATTTTTTCTATGAATTTTTGTTTGTGGTGCCATTCAATAGATGGCACAGGAGTTTTGGTTACATACATAGACACTGACATACACGCTACGTCCATTATAGTAAGAATGTAAAATAGATACTGCCGAACGAACTAGAAGTTAAATATTGCTTCCAATGCATCACTCATACAGGAGTAGAAGCATATGCTTGAGGAAAGCAATTAATTTTTCCTGTTGCGATTATATTCATTAAATGGCTAATTTATCAGAATATCCATACAATTGTTGTATATCGCCTTGACACCACTTTGTCACAGGCGTGCTATTATTGAACTTTTTATCCATCTACTTTATTTTGGTTGTATTCAACCCTATTAGGAACTAACTCATGATAATTATCACAAGAAATCGTTGTTTATTACTAAACTCAACAATATAAAGATTTAGAACTAGGTTTTGTTTCTTACTTGCAATATATTTCTTCCTTAGCCTCTCTTTCTGTTTATACGTTCTCTCTTACGTTTCCTGGTCTTTTTTCTTTATTCCTTAAACTTATATTTTTGATATATTTTTTCAAACCCAAAGTGAACAACATTCTTTCTTTCTGACCTTGTACATCTGTTTTGATTACAGCTTTTTCTAACAATAGGATAATTATTAGAGGAAGCAGCCACCTTTATTGTTCAGCGGTATGGATACAACAAAGGCGACCACTTCCTTTAATAGTTTCCAAAAGTCTTAGAGTGTTGTAATTCTCTATTTCCTTAGGAACTGACCAAAAGCTTTCTCACCTCACTCAACTTTAAACGATGTTTCTTACACATCACTTCATACATTAATATAGGGTCTGACCACTTTACGTTGGTGTGACATAGGTTGCACACTAGTGTTTAACAACAAACAAACACACTAGTGTACTTTACTATTTTGTAAACTTAGTTATTTCTTCTAAACTCTATAAGTGTTTTATAATTCATTGAACGTAATCAGTCATTGAAAATTCATAAGGTGTCTCTTTATTCAAATCAGTGAAGTATTCCCCAATTCTATAACATTAGTCTGACACAGGTATGAAGCTCGGACAATTAGCTATATAAAACTATATGTACATATATATCTATGTGTGTGTGTCGTTATCCTCTGCACAGTCCGAGAGCGGCCAAGTATTTAATGTGCCGAAATCTAAATCTGAGATTCCGTGGCTAGCGCAAGATTACCGCAGAAGAATAAAAGTCGTGTTCCGCACTTTGGAGCCGTGGGTGCGTTAAAAGTATGACGTCACATCCCACCATTCTAATCGAATAGCCCACAAGTTGGCGTTGGGTGGTGTTGACTAATTCCATTCCCTCTAGACTACTACTTTAGAATTAAGGACGGTTAGCGTAGCATTGAGTGAAAAATCAATAAACAAACAAACAATCTGCACATCTGTTATGTTAAGATAGATTTAATTTGTTTTAAAGCATCTTTACACTGATGACTGATACGATGTTTTACAGTCAAAGTAAGAGATGTGATCGATTTATAATATGAAATAACATTTT